TGCGGTTAACACACGAGGCGTGGATGCATTCTCGGGCGAGTGCAATTTCTTCATATCTAAATGACTTATCTGCCGGCTGAATGCCGGCCATCATCAGGTTCTGCTACACGACTATGAGGTAACAGATGTAACATCGATAAAAGGCCCTCGTTTCGCCCCTTCTTTCGATCTGGGGCGCAATAGCAATTCGAATCTCGATGATCGTTCAAAGACCGCTGTAGATCGTGAACGCCTCTAACGCCTCATTTCTATTCTTGCGAAAAATTCGAAATTCCTTTGTCAATCCTCTTTCACGATATTAAAAGCCTTTCTTTTTTTTTTTTTTTTTGTAAGAACATTACGTTAGAAGTTTGAGTTAACCTCGTTAAAAGTTATTTTTTAACAAACAAGGCGATTATGTAGCAGAGATATATCGTAAAGATATAAAAATTATAAGTAATCGAAGATTTTGTGAGTACGAGTAAATATGGTAAGAATCGGTTGCGATTGTTCGTCACGTTTTCCGATAAACGGACGAATTACATGTTTAATCTGAAACAAGGACGATAGAAATGAGAGAAGAGTAGAGAGAAGGAATCGGCTCTGTCATCGCGGAGATATTAATCGTTCCAGATATTAATCACCGTACGATGATGCTGGCACATCGTATTGTCCCGAATGCTTCGCTATTCTTCTCGAGCAAAATATTTAATCTTGGTCTTAATAATTTTATCGCGGGTAATACACGGGTTCCTGCTCGAAACTTCTTTCTGAATGATCATCACGATGGCCTGATTCGTATTACATTTATATCCAACTATGATGAATCGTATCCGAGACGAATCATTCTATTTCCACGTGAGCATCTTCAAATATTGATACTCTCACTCAGATTAGATAATAAAATAGATAATAAAATAAATTCATCATGATTTGAAGCGAATTATAAATATTATATGTGAAAAAGGAGATGGAAATTTATTGTATTAATTTTAACGGGCAGGGGAGAAAAATTGAAAATTATGCTCACCGACGCAAGGATTGACCCAGAGGAGCCTCTGCCATCCCAGACAGTCGTAAAGTTGCGTGAGCTCCGTCCCCTTGCACGCGCAGTTCGACCGCAATTCCGTGCCAAGGATACCCAGCATCGCTTTCCTGCATTCCGCAGTTGGACCAGCACACTTCTTTGTCACACTATCCACGGCGCAATTTTGCTCGTAGTACTCCAATTTCGCCCTAAGCAGCACAGTAATTGGGTTGAGCACGTGGAATTACTCGTTAGCGACTGTTAAAAGTCTAATATAAAAACCGACCGTCTCTGAATATTCGACAGAGAGAAGAAGGTAAAAAAAAGCAAACCGTTCAGCGTTTAGAAATTGCAATTTGAAATGAAAATCGTTCGAATTTTGTCTCTGTCCCCCTGATTGGTCAAAAGTGCACGTTCTCGTTCGTGGGAAAATTTAATTGTTTAAAAAAAAAAAAGATTCGTTGAAGATTCTTCTTGAAGAATCGTCGACGATCGAGGATTTTCGATGATGATTAATTTTTATGTTTATTGGCGGTGTTTCGATCGCGTAAAATGCGATAATTAAAGTGAGCTCATTCACGGATTATATAAGTCTAATTATAGATTCGGTCGAGATTTCCCTTGTTCCCTTATCCTCCACACGCGATAATCACGATAACTCACTCGTGTCGTATAATGAATTATTCGAGCAATGGACACGAGTGCAGAATGGATAATACTTCGTGATTTATCGTTCGATTACGATTATTGTCCTTTAAACAGGGTTCTCGTTGTAAAAATTACAATGAAAGAATATTCAATGTGTTAAAAATTCAAGTGGTGGTGGTGATGATAGATCGATTGAAATGCCGCGATACGTAATTCAATCGTATCACAAACGCAATCGACACCGATGCGCCCCAATATTTTCATTCTCATAAACGTTCCCAGAGAGGCGGCGGCGCGCTATTCCTTTTCAATTCGAAATTTTCAATCGAGTTAATCAATCGGCCCGATTTTAATTAGACCCCGCTAATAGATTGCCGATAAATAGATTCAGCCTTTTCAACCGATCTCGCCTTTGAATTTCTACCGGTTGATGATATGGATCGTTCGAGCGATCCGGGATCCGACTGTTATTCGAAATTTCAACGCGGGCGGCCGGGCCAACGCCTTTTTCTTAGTAATGAAGTGTTTCATTACTAAGGCAAGACTGGATCAAGCCACGTCTCGTTGACTCGCAATTTAACTTTCAAATTGAAACGAGCACTTCTCGGAGCTATGGCCAAGGCGACGGAAAAAGAAAAAAAAAAAAA